TGAATTCCTTAATCTTAACATTGGTAAGTCAAGAAATGAGAACTTTTAAAGCCATTAGATTAGTCACTGAAGTAACGGGTTATCGCACAAACTCTTTTTGATCAAATTAAATAGCGCACCTTTTAAATCGTCGCAAACGTGTCTCGAACTTTTAGTTTCTTATTTCGAGGTACTTCACGTAAGCGGCCAGATCGATATCATGTGCCAAGGATTGAGAGAAATTTCCACTACGCAGAAATCTCATCCATCAGCCATGAAATCGCTCATCGAGATGCATCAGAGGATTATATCCTTATCGAAGAATATCGACAATTTTTTCTCATTTGTTGCACTAATACAATTCGTATGGAACACCTTAGTTATCTGTTCCATAGGAATCATGATCATGATAGTGAGTAAGAATGTTTTATCTGCAATGAGAAAATGCAATGCCCTCAAAAAAAAAATTGTCTCGAAACTACGCTATATGCCAATCTTTGTTAAATATAATACTGGTCTTTTATTCGTTTATTTTACTGTTTAAAATATTAAAAGAGACAAAAAATTTATAATATTTGATTTGTCGAAAGCAATTCTAGAGAGAGGAAACTTAAATCATTGCAAACGCCTTTTGAACGTTGTGAAATATTTTTATAATAACTCCATTGCTCTCAGAATAATGCGTTATATTATTTTTTTGACATTGAGATTATATTCTTAGAGCGGTGCATATAAAGCATAATACTAGTTCAATTAAGAACACGAATGTGATATTATGACTTATTCCCAATTAACATAATCTAACACATAATTACACAGTCTCTAAGTACGGATGTGAAGGGGAAATCAGGATTATTAATACAATCCATTGTGCCCTACATCGCTGTTACATTAGAAGCTTTTGTTTTCTGTTTTGCTGGTGAATACCTAAGTACTAAGGTTAGCATGATCCTTTTGTTTTTAGCGATTTTTAGATATGAGTACTTTCCTCTAATGCTATTAGACAACTATTATATATTTTTTCAAAAATAACTATAGGTTTCCATTTTACGATTTAAAACGACAAGGCTTTATAGCTGCAATTTATGTTCCTTGCACGAGTTCAGTTCGTACTGCACAATGTTTTAAAAACAAATCTTTCTTCTTTCAAAGAGCAAGTCCATCAGCGATGCGGCGTACGAGACACTTTGGTACGATCTGTCCACTAGCGAATGTCGAATTTTGTTATTGATAATTGTCAGATCTCAAAAACGATTGACGATTACTGCTGGAAAAATCATGGATCTGACTTTGGAAGGTTTTACAAGTGTAAGATTCTAATCGGGGTTTTAAGAATAGAAGAGATTAATGACATTTAACAAATGTAGAAATGTATTCGCTCAAAATCAAATAACTATGAGTGCAATTAGATATAATAATATTGAAATTGTATCGCTGTCTCTATGTACATACAATAGTATGTATGTATGTGACGATTGTGTATACAAAACAATTGTATACACAATGTTGTTATCTATTTTTTATAATTTTTGTGATTTATTCTAGAAGTCTAAGAAATAAATTTAATGTTTAATTAATTATTTATAATATTCAAATTCTGGAGAAGATCTGTTTATGCTATTTGTTGCTTTTGCATAATAATATTTTATTTTTCAGGTCATGAAAGCTTCAGCGTCGTACATGTCGGTGTTGCACGTAATGTATTGAAATTCAAATCTTGCGCGAGTAATTAACTTTATTAAATAATCATTTGTAAAAGTATTTATAAAACAATAAAAACTATTAAAATTATTAGATAGTTAAATTCGTTTTGCTATAATCGATTATATTCGCTGGAAAATGCAAAATTGAAAATAGAAATTATGATTTAACAAAGCATTTGTGTCAACATTTTTATATAATAAATAAAAATACATCACTTAATTAAATTACTTATTATTAAGAAGTTCATTGTTATATACAGATATCAAATTTTTTGTTTAAATAATGGTTGACTTTTGTTATACGTATGCTATTCTATTTTTGATAAAATATTATATGTTAAAATATGGCAGTGCAAAAGACATTTTAAAATAACTTTAGCAATATAATATAATTTAGGTGTTACAAGCAAGCGGTCAAATTGATATAAATTGATCAAATGATAAATTGACGTTCTAATAAAAAAAAAAAATAGTTTTATTTTGCTTATTATTTATTTCGAGATTTTTAAAGATATTTTTCTTTAAACATATATGCATATACATAACTTATTAATCAAATTTAATTTCTTAATTTGTATTTTTATTTTAATTTATAGATTATGAAGGCGTTAGAAATATTAGTTATATATCAGTTTTGAATGCTATATATTGATATTAACGAGAACGTGCGTTAATAACGGAAATTATAACAAATAATAATAAGTTACAAAATAGACAATGAGTTAATTTTATTATTATTAACAATTAATTACCATTTGCTAATTATTAATTGATAAATTACACAAACTAAAGTTGTATTTAATACTGAGGAGTTATTCACTAATGAAAATAATTTCTAATTTCTTGTATTCTATCTGAATATGATTCTAAAGTGATTTCATTTATTTCTTGAAAAAAATGTGGAATGCGCGATCGAGCGTACGATGTTTTTTTGTTTAATTTCAGATGATTTCTTGATTTTAATAATAAATGCTTAATTGCCTCGTTAATTTATTTTCTCGCTGATTTCGTAAATAAGTGGCCCTTCCTGTTTAATATACAGGCAATTAACATAACCGGAATTAATTTTTCGATTTTCATGTATTCTCATTGTCATATTCTTATTTAAAATTGTGTGTATCTGCCTTAAATATTCTTTCAGGCATTGCTTTTTAATTATACTCAAAGGATCGCATCTTCTATTTACATAAACACATTTTGTTGCATCTGTAATTAATTTATAATATCTGTTGTTCAAAATTTTTACTCTTGATATTGTCCCTCCAAGCAAGTCTTCAATATAGTTTAAAATTATTGTCCTTAGAATTCAAAAAAATTATTTAGCCATTATACTCCCACTCGTGTAGATTCTTTTATTCTATCCATATATTTTCTTTTTTAAAGAGGTTGAATGACATGATTACAATCTGCTTCTGTTAGAATACATTTTGTATAATTACAATTATATTATCATGATACTTTTAATAATTTTCACGATTGGTAGGAACGTAGACATTTGTTTTTTGTTGATATTATTATGTTGCCAAGAAACAAGAAGCAAAAAACAAAAACTATCTCTTAGAAGACTGTTTTTTTAATCTTTAGCAGCGTAATATGTTCACAGTTGGAATACACGTTATTACATTGCTAATAAAATTATAGGATGTTCATAGAAATAATGAGTTCTGTCTCGTCTTATCGTCATACTGTGCATCGTATAATAGCGATTGATCCGTATTCATTTGTGAGTGGGGATGCACCTCGTATGAGGGGATAAACTTAAAGAAATGGATATTGCGCTCTCAGTTCATTCTCAAACGAGTATACTAGATGTATCTATACTGATCTTCATTTTCTTACGTTTCAAAAACTGTAGGTGAAAGATCATGAGTACTGTTAGTCCGGCGGTGAAAATAGCGCTTCAATGTCTCGGCATATGGCCAGATGTGTCACATTCTACTATTTATTGGCTAAGTTTTATGTCAAGCATGTTGATTGTACAGTACTTCCAATATTCGTATATATTTGACCATTTAAGTGCTAGTGAACTATCAAATCTTATTGATGGTCTGCCTATGACTTTTAATTACAGTTTGACATTGTTTAAGCTGTCCAGTTTATGGATAAATCGTCGGTAAAATATAATATTAACATACAGTGTAGTAATACTACAATTCGATACTCAGTTATTGTATTCGAAAAATAGAATTTTTCCTTAGCTATCTGACAATTTTGATCTAATTCTTTGTAATTTAAAATAATATAATATTATCTAAATTTCTCTCTTATAATTCAAATATTAATAATATGCATAGCTTCTTAAAAGACAGTATAATATATTTTTATTTAGAACGATTGACAAAATAAAATATTATATTGTAGGATACTTTATAAAATTCTTGCTACTATGGATAATGATTGGCGCGAGTGCATCAATATAGATCAGCATTTGTATATAATGACAATCAAAGCAAATATATCGCATTTCATCTCTAACGCTTTATTGAGCTTCACTGCGATTGTTGGTGTACTTTACCTCTTAGGCGAATACGCAGTTCGTTTTGTATTTTTAATTGAAAATTATAATGACACTATAAAGCAGCTTCCTTTAAGACTGCAATTTCCCTTTGAAACTCAACAATCGCCGATATTTGAGTTTCTCGTTGTAACAATATTTCTACAAGCGATGATACACGTATGCACGGTTGCTATATTAAATGGCTTAATCTTTTCTTTGGTAATTTATATTTTGTATGAATTTGATTGTAATTTTACCTTTATTAATATTTATATAAATGTTTTATTATTGTTATTATT